GTACAGTAACGAAGTCCATTTACTCAAGTACTTTACACCACTGCCTGGCAATGAAGTATAGCCATGGTAATCATATTGATGGGCAATGTATTCCAGGTGACGTAATTTTGAGCCATTCTTTCCAAATTGTTATTACTCGTGGGGTAACAAGTTTTAGGAAGACTTTACGGGTGAAGGCTTTAATTTTTTTTTAAAGCGAGATACATCCTGTAAATGATCTACAATATTTAATGACAACGCAAATGTATTTTATATTTAATATTTTATATGATCAACAAACAAAATTCGATATAACCCTATCACTGGATCAGATGAGCAACAGGTACAGAAAAAGTGAATGCAAAAAAACAAACTTTTATGAAAATTTAATCCTAATCTATATTTTTTAAATTATTAAAATATGGAAATTAGGCTACTTCGGTGAAACAACAGCAATGGGATATCTAGTTATATAATCACACGATTGACTTCAGCGTTGTGCAAGCAGTCCTGAATGTTTTAGATCATGGTAATTACCATTATTAGATACCCTCCAGGTGATAAATGCCTTCAGTGAGGTGCAGCATGGTGGATATTTTCCGTCTACAAGCATCAGTTCAGCGACCTGAAGGATCCAGCAGACAGCGGTAGGTAGACTCAGTAGAGGGCACTGTCTTTTTTATCCAGCTGAAAAGCAGCATATTGTTATGTCGAATTGAAATGCGGAAGAAGGGGGACGTCCTTAGCGTGCGTATACCGAGAGACGGCGCAGAGTGAAGCATCCGAGCCGCGGCGCCCTAGAAATACGCGAAGCTGGTATATTGCAGGCTTATCGGTGAGTTTGCGGCCGGCGGCGATCGTACAGAGACTTTGCTGCCGGACTCAGTCTCCCATCTGTAAGGTGTTTCTCTAGGCCGTCCCCGTCGGCTTTCCACCACGATCCTGAAAAAGGGCGCACAGCCATCACTTTTTTTCCGCATAAATCTTTATAAATAAAGGTGATTAAACCGCGTTGAAGTTACATTAGCCCGCCATCAGGGCACGGCGATGCGGGGGAGGCGCTCCGAGAACTACGGGCGCCCAGCGGTGGGAAACGTGGCTCCCCGATTTGGGTTTTGAACTTAAGTTAATCCGCGTTTAATCGTCGAATTACTGGTTGTTTAAATGTAGTTTTACAAATGTGTACCTAATCGTAAAGTTACAACCGGAGCCACATTGCTTTGTGAAGTTATTTTTTAACGATTCTTTTAATAAATCCCCGTGTAATGTAGTTTATGTTTGGCTCATATGCGATCGCGGAAGTAAAACGCAATATTTAACCATTTAACCATCACGACCTGCATTTTTATGTATATAAAACCTCCTAAGAAAGACAAAGAAAGTGGTTGGATGGGCCTTTCGGTGCCAAGTTTGTTACGTTCTTCGCTACATTCCTGACTACATTCTTATCTAATTTGTATTTTCGGAAATGTATAGATGACTACTTTTTTTACCGGAATAATAATTGTAATACCACGTTAGCATGGAGTACGTCAGTCACAGAAATGCGGTGTGTTTTTCTGGATGCTAAACATCGCTTGGCTGTAGAAAATAGGAAAAGGTGGCCGGCTGCATCAGAAATGGCGCTCAAGAGAATCGGAATGAGGGAAACCGATAACCGTGTAATAAAGAAGAGCATCCGATCACAACTTAGGACTTACAAAATAAGCCTTGAAGTTACTAAACTCGTCTGTTTCTCCTTTCTAGCTTTGGCTCAGCCCATGGAAAGATGTCTAGTGCGCCTAAGGACCGAAAAAGCCGCTGGCAGGACATCCAGAAGGGCCTGGAGTTCATAGAGTGAGCTGATGGGGGGGGGGTGGACTAGGATGTGCTCAGTCTCGTTTCATGCTAGCACCAGTAAACCGAAACCTAAAATTTCCGGGTCACTTGTGTTTATTGCCTGGATATAACTAATTTGCCCAATTTGTAGATTGCAGTACTAACAATACAGAAGCCATGGTTTAATATGTCCCATATTTTGTTTGATAGATCTACCCTGCCCTTTCCTGGACCTGATGAACAGTATAATGTAAGTGTATGGATATAGCTTCTTTTTAAGAGCTATATTAAGTGCTGGCATGCCGACTGTTGATTATTGCTGTTTGTCTTTCCAGGAATTCATCCAAAACCTGGTAACGAATCTCTTTGAGGAAGGGAACGATGTTTATAGTGAGGGCGAGCGGATGAAATCTGTAGAGCACTACACGGAAGCTTTGAGCGTGGCGGACTACGCGGCCTCGGAGGATATCGTGATTCACAGCGAAACTCTGGAGAAGCTGTATGCCAATCGAGCTGCTGCCTACCTCTGTACTGTAAGTCTGATTTGGGCCCATTTCCATGCTGATGCACTCATTTCTCAATTTATGGGTGTACATCTGTGTGTGTGTGTGTGTGGGTTTTTTTTTTTTGCAAACTGCAGCCTGATTCTTCTCTATTTCTCATTATTGAAGGGCTTCTTCAGTCCTGCTTCTAGGAGCCTTATATGAACTGTCCTAGCAGTGCACCTCACACCTGCACTTAATGTTTCCCATTCCCTTTGAAGGTCATCCTACTGCCTACTGATAAGTTAATGGTCCTCTCTGGCTTTAGAAAGTCACTTCTGCCCTCTACTTAGCTGGTTCTTGGTTGTTGCCAGTGTCTCCTGCTTCACTCTCATTCTGTACGTCTGTCTTAGAAATTTTGAGCCTGGAAGCAGCCTGCTGCACAGTGTAGCCTTCTGGCAGCAGAACCAGGATTTAAAAATGCAGATTTGTTTTAAAATGTAGTGGTCTTTTAATTTTTTCCACGGCTGTATATTGCTCCAACATGAAATCTGAATAGTAGAATATTCGATGAGTTCATAATGCTTTGTTGGAAAAGAAAGCAGTCAGTAACCATCAGATGTATTTGTCTCGTGAGTGTTCTTGAATCTGTTGTGAATAATAGTACATACTAACAGTATTTAACCACACAGGCAATCAAAATTAGAGAACAAGACATATTTTTGTAATGTACAAAGTCACAGCTTATCAGAATTCAGTTATTCTAACATGAATAGAGATGTATTTTAATCATGTCATCAGTAAAAGCTATGCCACATCACAAAATAAATGGTTTCAGCAAGAAATTTGAAGAAGGCATGCAATCAAAATTAGAGAACAGTTCCTTTTTTTTTTTTTTTTTTTTAGAAGCCTACAAATTAATTAACTTTTTTTTGATGGTTACAACTTTCAGAGATGAATAGAAAGCATAGAGGCCCTTGCTTTCTGTGATTGGCATATCAGTGCCGACAGCACATAACCAGCTTCTTGTGTTGCTCTAACTTGATTTTGTTGCACTCGTCTTCCTGTTTTTTGCACAATTTGGTAACTGTAGTGGGTTTGTTTGCCATAATTTTGTCTTTAAATGCCTTCCAGAGATTCATGTTAGGGTTCAAATTAGGACTGTCTACTGCCCATTTTTTCACCTGGATGTTCTCGGCTTTGAGAAATCGCTTCACCCGTTTTGCAGTGTAGTGAGGGGCACTGTCTTGTGTAGAAATGACTGGCTGACTGGGTGATGCTCTAGGGAAGGAACCGCAGGAGGTTCAGGTACTCATTAGCATCCACCTTGCCGTGTAGCTATATGAGAAGCCTGACCCTGGGGCAGAGAACATGCCCCACACCATGACACTAACCCCTCCCAACTTTTCTGACTTCTTCACTTGTTTCCCATTTGAATCAACTAAATTAAACTTGCTTTCATCACTGAAATTTTACTTTGGACCAGTTCTTCTGTCCACACCGTGCACCTTAGCAAAGGGCTAGTCTATCCTTTTCATTATACTTGTTGATGAGCATCTTGGTCCCTGCAGAGGGGGATTTCAGTCCATATTATCCCAGATGAGGAGACCCTGTCAAGACAAGTTCTTGTCCTGCCCGGAACTAATTTGACAAGCAGTTCCAGCTGTTGAACCGATCCCCCACGAGAGTCATCCTGTCTATCATCCTGTTCACTCGTGCACCCACCAACCAGCCTTTTTCTGGACTTAAATTACTTAGTTTTATTGTACTGCTTAAATATTTGAGAAATGAAGCTCTTGGAATGATTAACTTCTCTTCTAGTGGCTGAGGGTCATCCTGTCAGCCATCATTTGAACAACGTGATGCCACAGGGTTTCAGACTCCTTGCAGAGGTCCACCATCTTGCAAAATGCCTACCAATGTTGCCAAATAATTTGGGGTTGCCAGATATTCCAAGATCTTTTAAGATTAGATCCGAAAAACTGTCAGGTGTAACAAATTGTTCTCTAATTTTGATTGCTTACCTTCAAATTTCTTGTTTAACCCATCTGTTTTGTGATGTGGCACAGCTTTCACTGATGAAATATGATTAAAATACATATTTGTTCGTTATAACTTTGAATTCAAGCGAAAAACATTGATTTTTGTATAGCGCATTATCACAACATTACATCATCTAACACACTATATTCTTAAACAAATCTGTATTTTTAAATCCTGGTTTAATCCCGGTTCTGCTGGCAGAAGGCTACGCTGAGCAGCAGGTTGCTTCCAGGCTCAAAATTTCTATGACAGCAGTACACAAGAACAAAGGGAAGCAGGAGACACTGGGAACAACCAAAAACCAGCCAGTTAGAGGGATGCCTGTTAACTTATCTGACATTTTCTCATGAATTATAGGATGATATCAAGTGACCTTCAAAAGGAATGGGAAACATTAAGTGCAGGTGTGAGGTGCACTGATAAGACAGTTCGAATCAGGCTCCTAGAAGCAGGACTGAGGTCCCATAAAGCAAGGAACAAGCCCTTCATTAATTGAAAGCAGGGAAGAGCCGTGCAGCAGTTGGCAAAAAAAAATAATAAAAATTAAAATTAAATTATTCAGATGCTCGCCCATAAACTGACAAATGAGTGAAACAACAAAAAATTGTGCTGTGGTGTCTTTTTTTCCCCCAGAGCTGTATACTTTATATTTTTATAAATATATAACATATACACACATGCCTGTGTTTGTGTGTCTGTATAGACACATATATAAACAGTTTGTAAATTATTTTAAAAAATTTGCTGCATGACACATACTGGGAGAACTCTGCTTTCTATGATTGACATCATTCAGAGCCAATGAAAATGGAGCGGACACCTGTAAACCCCTCCCATTGTCTCCAGCACTACTTCCAGCCAAAACGCTGCAGTTCAGTCTCGTCTGTCTACAGCACCTTTTTCCACATTCTGGCAGGGTCTCTCTGTGGGGCTTTTTTTTTTTTTTTCCTTTGCTGCCTGGTCATAATACTAGTTTTCTCTCAGTAGTCTGTATTTGTTGCTTGGATTGTCTGTTTGGATTTCTCCTGCGTAAGCTGTGCTTGCTGCTATTTTCGTGCCCTTATCTGTATTTGTTCATTTTCTCCTCCTTAATGGTATGTCCATGTGTTCGTGACAGCATAGTAAATCACTAATTGTGTGGTTTGGGTAGGAAGTTTCGGGCATGTGAATTTAAACTTTACCAACGCGAAAGCCAAATATGTGTAGGTAGCCAAAGTCAGAGTGATTTTGTTGGCCATTGAGTCATCATCCTGTAGATATCTGCTCTAACTGTGTATGCACATTGGCGCCAATGTGGGGATGATGGGGACGCCCTCTGTGATGGCCCGTGTGTGTGTTTC